CACAGTAGGACAAAAGGGAGTTGAAGAGATGCCAGGTAAACTTAAGAAATTTCCAAGAACACAGAGTAAAAGGGCAGAGAAGAAATAAGAAAGGAAAGGTAATGGAGAATTAATTCAAAATGTTGAAAATCCTACAAAAATGTGAACAAGCCACATGGAATTTATTTTCAAAAAAGTCATAATGAAAAAATATACAAGGGCTTAAACACACCAGGAAAGTGAAGGCTTAGACCTAAAGATTTTCTCATGAAATAAAAAAACATTCAAGTTGAAAAGGAGTTGGCCAGGGGTGGGGTGTTCCCTGGAAAGAGAATATCAGTCAGACATCCTGTTTGTAATTAGAACTATTAGATAAGAGGTAATAGAAAGCCCCCGGCTAAGTACTACCTGAAAATAATTTTAAGCTTAGAATTCCCACCTAGGCAAGCGGTCAGTAGTCTGAACACAAAACCAAGACACCAACCATACAGGACTCAGCACAGGCTGATAATGGCAGCTGCTATCCGATGTGGGATCTCCTTTTCCCTAGCTTCCTGGGCCTGGCTTCAGAACCCATTTACTGTGGTTCCCTGCCAGAAGGTGCCTGAGATGTGTGGCAAGATTTCGGGTCTCATGTCCTTGCTTCCTGCCAACTCTGTTTGGCTGGGCATCTGCTAACAAGGGGATGTTTAATTTTGGGTGTTCTTGGGGCACTAATGCCCCTTTTTTCTCTCTATGCACACTAATTCTATTAAAGATATTTAAGAGTCAGTTTTGCCTCTGCATAGATAACAAGACTTCTGCAGAGTGTGCAAGGTTGGGGGTCATTGGGTAATCTTTGGTCACATTCTAACAAAGGCATTGTCTTTTCATTCAGTATGAATGAAATTTAGATAGTGAAAAAAGAAAAATGGGTATTTTGGAAAACACTATTTTAAAAACTACATATGAAAATATAGCTAGAAATTTGAATCAAGCTTAAATGTGACATGGTTTTGAGCTAGTGAAGGAAGCAATGAGGATCTATGGGACCTGGACTCCTGGATACTCTTTCTTGAGAGACATTGAACTGACAGAGAAACAAGGGGTTTGACTCATCTGTGATGGAACTTTCTGCATGTCCTGACCAGGTAGATGCTGTCCAGTGGTTTTCAACTCTTAGACTCATTTGACAGACAAAATATAGATGGAGAATTATAGTATAATGATAGTATAATATATAAATTGTATGACAATATAATATATGATAGTATAATATATAATATATAAATTATACAATGATATGAAAACTAACTTATAGTGGAGTGAAGTTGTCTAGGAAGGAAAGGCTGAAGGGCCACCCTCCTCATTTCACAGAACAGGAAGCAAAGACACACTATCTAAATTTGATAATACAGACTTAAAAGTTTAACTACATTATCTCAAATTAGAAATATTACAAATATAATAATGAAAAACAAAAGGCATCAAATTTTAAAAGCTCAAGTAAGTATATATTTAGAATTAAAAATCTAGAAACATAGACCCAATATAATATTTAGAGTCACAACATTTCAAAATTTTGAACAAAAATTCAAAATGAGTAGAAGTGATTGCCTCTGAGGAGCAAAGAGAGGTAAGGCTAGTGGGAGAATATTGCTTTCATCTGTAAGTCCTCTTCTATGGAGTTTTGTTTTATTTATTTATTTATTTTAAAGAGTAAGCTGTTGCTTTTATTTATGTATTTGTTTGTATAGAGAAACTGAGGTGTAGGCCAGAATATAGATAGGCCAGAGGTACGGGAGGGCAGGTAACTGAGGTGTAGGCCAGAGGTATGGGAGGGCACGTAAAAATATGGGGTTCTAGAGATGGGTAAGAAGATTCACCAGACACACAACAGGCAGATCTACTGAAATGAGAGGAGCAGCGCGTGAGACAGGAGAGGTCTGCTGCATCTTGTGGGTCAGCTCCCAGGCTGGGAATTGAACTGGGGCCTCGGCCTACAGAAGTGATAGCGATGAGACCCCCCAGGCCACCAGGGAGGCCCTCTTACTGAGCTTTAAACAATGACTGTATTATTTTGATCAATGTAAAAACTGTTTTGTTCCTAAGTATGTATTTTTGTTATTGTATTTCTCATAATGGTTCCAAAATTGTCTCAGCCTCATAAGTGAAAAGGATTTCATATGAACAAATTAATATAGAAGAACTGACATCCCACCTAAAAATGAGGGTAGTAATGGAGTCATGTTCTATTTAAAAATAAATGTAATTTTACAATGTTGTAGTATATATATGTGTATAGATCTCAACTAGAGTAAGACACATTACTCCTTTTTAGAGTTTTGCAGGACTTTGCTTGAATTACTAAACCAGAATTAAGATTAAATGCTGCATCAACTTTAAGTGACATTAAAAATATCTCTATTAGTGAGTTTGCATATTTCTTACTAATTTCTTTTTAATCAATATATTTATTAAATTTTCTCTTTATAACAGGAAAGTAAATTTCAGTAATTTTTTCCAATGTTCATAAATTATTAGTTAGTGAAGCCCTACCTAGTAAACTTCTACTTTTGTGTAATAAATTTAGTTCTCTTAGGTAAATTACCTGCATATAAGACAGTATCTTCTCTGGCAACTTTTAAGTACCATTTCCCATAAATCTTTGTAGTACTGTTTTCCAAAGGAAGTCTGGGAGTAGATTTTTAAAATTTTATTTTATTTTTTATTGAGGCAAAATTGGTTTACAAAACTGTATATAATTTAGCGGTATAGAATCACATCCTTCAGAGATTGTCACCATACCACGTAGTCTGGGAGGCGTTTTTAGGGGTTTCCAGGATGGAGTTTCCCAGAATAGTGGAAAAATAATGGATTATCACAGTTCCAGAGCTAGGGAGTACTGAAAAATACTCAATAAATCCTACTGAGAGGTGCTTTGGGGTTGGAAATATGCTGTACAAGAATGAAATGACTTTGGTTGATTTTTCCTTTTCCTTATTCTTTCCCCCCTTCCTTTTTTCTCTCCTTTACCCTCCCCTCTCTCCCCTCCCCTCTCCTTCTCCTTGCTTCCTTCATAGTCATGGATCAAAACAAGATGTTAATTTCAATTACATTTTCCTGGAATCCATTGGGCAAAAAGTTCATGTGACATTCCAAATCTTACAAAATGCCATGTTTTGTTTATATGATCCTACCACTCTGCTCACACTGCGCTTTCACACTTCTCTTTCCACTGGATCTACATTGAGTCCTATCCCTGCTGAGCTGTGAGATTCAGGAAGGAGGGCACTTGCTCTGTCCTGTTCTTGTCCTCCTGTTTCCCAGGCTCTAGGCTGAGCTGCCCTTGGTAAGTAACTTAGAATAGAAGAGAAGCATTACTGACGACATGGTACGCTTAGCAGGACCATGCATCTTTCTGTGAGTGTGTCAACACATTTACTATCAATAGGCATCAGGAAGGAGTTCTGTTGCTCTATTAAACGTGGCAATTGAGTCCCGGGGGACAGTGACAACACAAAAATCAGACGGCTAGTTAAGATGTTGCTGAGATTCAAACTTGAGTATTGCTCTTCACTTGAGCTGCGTCTCCCTGTCTCCTAGATCGTTACATACTAAGCAGGGCTCTGTGTTTTCTGGTTATCCCCACCCCCACTCACTACCTCTACCCCCCGCCCCCCCCCAGAACAATGCCTGGAATGTAGGTGCATAGGAGCAGTGGATGCTGCGGATAAGGAATGGGCATGACCAGCAGTGATGAGCTTGGTGAACTCTTAGCTCTCAACTTAGAGTATTTCATATTCCACAGAGAGGCACAGACTACCAAGTATATAAAAGACAGCAAACTGTTCGCAGCTTAGGTAGAATGCAAACTACCAACAATGAGGGTTCACTGAATTACCTTCGACCTAGAACAGTATTTGTATAAGGTAAGTTTTATTTTCCAAAGCATTTCATGTATTTTCTCTTAGCAAATCAAGCTGTGAGGAGACAGAATATCCATTTCACAAAAGCGCCCCAAGTGAAAAGCTTACGTGTTGAGTTCTGTGCTGAAACTCAGCCTGAGTGCTGGGTAGTTTCCCTCCTGCTCCCGTGTCTTGTACTTGGCAAGACAGGACCAGCCTTTTCAACGCTTGCATTTGTCTACTCATGCAAAGCTGAGCCTGTATGTGTGCGTGTGCGTGTGTGTAACCTAAACGAGAAGTACAATTTGTTTTTTTTTACAATAATCATTTTCTAGGATGTCATTACCAAATCATGCAAAACTTTCAAACTAGAAACAGTTGAATTCAACCAACCAGTTGATGAGTTGTTACTATTTTTAGCTTAGCAATGAGATGTTTTCATCCAAACTGATTGTTTAAATTCATCCTTTTCTCCAACCTGGCCTGTGAAAGCACTCACAGACTTGACCACGAGTGTCCCTGTTTCCTCCCGGTCCTGTCATGTCATTCTGTGTCTGAGGATGGAATTCCGCCTCTGAGCGGACAGGGGGACAGCTTGCCAGGAAGGGTTAGTGAGTCACCTGGAATAGGGTTCATGGGTGCTGGGCACCCCAGCCAAGGGGATGCAGAGTTCTCCAGGTTGGCAGCTTCTCTGGCAGGGCTGCTCTCTTCCCCAGAGGAAAGACAGGCAGGGATAATGTGTCAGAGAAGGTGCCTCACCATGCTGGGTGGGGCTCTGTGGGTGTGGGCAGAAACTTGGAGTCCAGCTCTTACAAACACGCACACTAGACTTCCTTCTCCAGGGTGAGGCTGGGGAAACTGCCTGATGGGAAAGAGCCTGACCAGTGCCCACCTATCACTGTTAACCGAAATCAAGGGGCCCTTTGAGGAGTCAGTCTTCCTTAGGAGGTTATAGGGCAGCTTCAATATGATTTGGCTACTCCTGTGCTTTTGGCACTGGTCTCTGTCTTATTTTTGTTTTTTTTTTTCCAGCCTTCTCAAGAAAAAGGGAACTCGTTGCTCCCCAAGATCAGGCAAACACCACATTTCCTCTCCTTGCAGTTGAGACTCCTACAGGAAAAGTGAGGTGGTTACCTCTGGTCATGACGATGCCTGCTAGGGCCTTGTGGCGGCGATGTACAGACGTCAGGCCTACCGTCAGCTCGCGGAACTTCTGCGTGACCAGTTGGGACACGGAGTCTGCGAATTCCTGAAAGACACAAACACCAGCCTCTTTGATGGCTGAGCAGATGATAGTCCCGGCCTCCCCTCCAAAGCCGTGTCCCATGTACAGTGTCCGAGGTCGCCCTGTCACTGAGAGCCCACCATCCTGCATGCACTGTCTGAGACCCTGAGGCTGCGGGGAGAATCATGACCCTGCATCATTGTGGCCTGAATTCTGAGGAATGGACCCCAGCATGGCCCCAACCAGAGGCCTGTCTGTTGAGCAGAATCTTCCTAGGAAATGTGTCTACTTCCTCTCTCTCCTGCCTCTCTGCAGGTACAGAGGTTCCTTTGGGGAAAACTTGTGCAACACCTCAGAGGAGCCTGAGGCTTAGCTCATATTGGACAATCAGTTCCCAACTCCTACTTAGCATTGTAGAACTACTTCCACACACCCTACACACCTCAGGCCCTTCTTGGCAGAACCCCCCCTAATGCTCGCTCTATGACCTTCCCCCTCCTCTTCCTTATAGCATGCACACACAGGTACACACATGCACACACAGAGATATATCACACACATACAATATACAGATCACACACCTACCTTCACATTCACCCATGCACGGACATGCAGTCCTGCAGCCCATAATGCAACACACACATGCCTACCCACACACATGCAGACACACACATGGACACATGTACATATGCGCACACCCAGATACACGACACAACCCATGTGCATACCTACGCACACAGAGAGATGAACATACCATACATACAGTGATACATATCTACACATGCCCTGACTGCATGGACACTCTGTATCTCCATATATGCACAATTCAGGCAAAACCCACACACAGGCACACACACGTGCAATGCAACACATAGCACACAATGCATGGATGCATGCATGTGCACAAACAGGCAAGGACATACACATGCATCTCACATACACACTCACATGCCAAGGTAATATAATCCTGGTTGGTGAGATTTCCTAAAGTGACTCATGTCTGTTAAAACAGCACATGCAAAATAACAAGTGTGTTTGGCCCAGAGGATGTAGCTTCCTCAGCCTCCTCCTGCCACCCCTAGGCCCAGCTGGTGGACAGGGCCCACCTGTAGCAGGCAGTCTGGGTGGCAGTGCCCTTCACAGGCCATGGAGCCACACAAACCTGTGTGAGTCTGGTGGGTATTTAAAACCTCTAAGCCCGTTTCCCCCCCTAATTTATAAGGTAATCCTCTTAATTTCCATTTGACTGTGCTTTTGTGAGGATTAACTGTGTTAATGCTTAAATGCTTAGCACTGTGCTTCACACTTCTCAAGTGCTCCAAAACTGCTCCAATTTTCCTTCCCCTTTCATTATTATTATTATTACCCTCATTACATTATCACCATTATTGTTCCCCCAGCTGCTTTGGGCATTGACTTCTCTTTGTAGCCAAATCAGAACACCCACTTCTCCATCAGAATACCCACTTCTCCATTAGAACACCCACTTCTCCATAAGGTGGCAAACAGCTCATTTTTTTCTTTAATGGAATGAAGTTTTGTATGGTATGTTTGGATATTATGCTACTCACAAAACAGGTCTCAGATAAAGATAAGAAAGATTATAAATGAAGTGACTGCTTTTGCCCCGCTCGTAGGCAGAAACGTAGGGGAAACAAGCCTCCCTCCCAGAAGCTGAGTCCTTCTTGGACTCGGGAGATGGAGCCACTTCTGGCCTCAGGCCTTTCCCTGCACTTTAGTGTCCACCCCCTTCTGTCCCCCCCCCCATGGATGCCCTGAGGGATATCTACTCCTGTCTACATGGCTTCTCCTCTCTTCTCTGAGTGTCTTTGGGGTTAGGGTCCAGTGGATAATCCAGGATGATGCTTCCTCATTCAAAGACCTTTGACTGTTTCTCCTCCTTCTTTTAGATGTAAAGGCTTTATTCCTGAATCAATTGAGCAAGTATAGTTTACTATTTTTCTTAGTTCTTTCTATATAGTGTTAAGGTGTGAAGGAAATATTCCACACCCCAATGAATTAGTCTATGCTGGTAAATAATGAAGGAAAAAAAAAAAAAGCCAAAAAGAAGTTTCACCATGGCTTGTATGCCTCCTGGATGTCACGGAGAGCCCACCTTGACTTCTTTGTATTTGCAAAGGCCCAGTCACAGGTTCTGGGATCAGGATATGGATAGGATTTGGGAGTGTGTTCTATCCATTAAGCTTATCCGCTGCTCTCCCATCCTCATGTTGTACCTGGGTGGGTCTGCTTATTACAGATTGTGAATTTGGTTGACTTCTACAAGTTGAAGAGTCTGACCTCCTAACTTGAGTGGGAAGATCTACTGGTTAACTACTCTTTGCAGGTGTTCAGATCGGGGTCCGTGGCAAGCCCCGTGTGTTGCTGAGTGTGCTCAGGTAGAGATATTGGCTGGGTGCCTCCATGGTGCTTCAGTCAGGCATCATTCCTTGTGAAGCTGGGCTTCCTGGCCAGATATCGTCACCTTCAGATTGGGAGGTCAGTACACGGGGCACTCTGAAATGGTGGAGGGAGACCCAGATGTCAGACTTTTAGGGACACAACAGGAGAGAGGCTGCAGTATCAGGGGAGTCTCAGGAGCCGAGAGCCCAGAGACCTCTTCAGCATCACTGTGCTTGAACAAGAGGCTCTGAGGAAAATTTTCAAGAAGCCAATGAAGCAACATAGTACCCAGTACTGGTACCGCCTCTCATCCCAGAGCTGGGAAGAGGAGCTCTGTGCTTGAGGGATGGATTTCTATCCAGTCTGAGGGGGTACCCTGGCTGATGGGATGGGGGTGCAGGGTATAAGAAGTGAGGGCTCAAAGGGATGCTCTGTGGAAGTTGAGTCAGAGATGATTTTGAAGGGAGAGTGGGATTTGCCTTTCCTATTGCACAGGCCGGTTTCTCAGGCCCTGGGATGAAGGTCATTCTCCCCTGGTACCCCCACAGCACATCTGCACAGGAATGGGAGTCAAGCCCTGGCCTTGGGACACAGGCCTGGGAACCTGAATAATAGGAACTTCCTCCTGTCTGGGGGTCACCCTGGCATCCTGTGTGTATCTGCTGAACAAGTTGACCGCCTTGGGGTGCTGTCTGGTCAGTTCGTGGTGGCTTTGTGTACACTAGGCCACTTCTCCAGGCTTTTCCTGCTTCAGGCAGGCAGAACCACCTATCTTTGCTTGTCCAGGAATTTTTAAAGGATCTGGGCATCTGCTTCTGGGCACCATGTAAGCCAAGAACTATTCTTGCATCTTCCATTGTTGCTGTCCTTTTATTTCAGTGTGGAATGTTATATTTCACATACTGGTTTTGTAGTAGTATCCAAACAAATGCTCAAAACAAAATATGAGTGGACTTGTGTTTAACTGATATTTTAGGATCTCAGTATTTGGAGAAATCTAACACGTAAAGCTATGCATTACTTTTCATTTGGCAGAAATGCCTGCAAAAGCACAGCAAATTTCCTAGAGAATGTTAAAACAAAACAAAACAAAAAACAAAACCCAAAAAACTAAGATATAATTGACATCACATTCTATTAGTTTCAGGTGTACTACATAATGATTCAATATTTGCGCAAATTATAAAATGATCACCACAATCAGGTCTAGTTAACATCTTTCCCCACCCATAGATTTTCTTGGTGATAAGAACTTTTAAGATCTACTCTCTGCAGCTTCCAAATGTGCAATAGAGTCCTGCAGCTGCGGTTACCATGCTGTCCATTCCAGCCACAGGACTTATTTTATTTATTTATTTATTTATTTTTTTATTCATACAGAACTGGGGTACAGGCCAGAGATGTAGAGGGTGAGAGGATTCACCAGAGACAGAGCGGGGAGCAGAACAGGCAGATCGATGAAGTACACTGCTGAGGGGAGCAGCGGGCTGGTCAGGAGAGGTCTGCCGCGCCATGTGGTCACCTCCGGGGCAGGCGGGATCGAACTCATGCGGAAGTGGCTTTAGTTTCGTGGTGCTGCGCTTTAACCCGCTGCGCCACCAGGGAGGGCCACTTATTTATTTATTTATTTATTTTTAAAGATTTATTTATTTATTCATACAGAACTGGGGTACAGGCCAGAGATGCGGAGGGTGAGAGGATTCACCAGAGACAGAGCGGGGAGCAGAACAGGCAGATCAATGAAGTACACTGCTGAGGGGAGCAGCGGGCGGGTCAGGAGAGGTCTGCCGCGCCATGTGGTCACCTCCGGGGCAGGCGGGAATCGAACTCGTGGAAGTGGCTTAAGCTTCTTAGTGCTGTGCTTTAGCCCGCTGCGCCACCAGGGAGGGCCCCACTTACTTATTTTTTAATTGGAAGTTGTAACCTTTGATCACCTTCACCTGTTTTACTCGCCCCACCCTCTGCCCCTGACAACCATTCATCTGTTCCTTTTTTGTTTTTCAAAAGTCCAATCCCCCCCATCCACCTTAAGATTTATTTACTTATGCATACAAAGCTGGGGTACAGGCCAGAGGTGCTGGGGCAGGAAGATGCTTCACCAGAGACAGAGACAGAGTAGGGTGCAGAACAGGTCGACCGACGAAACACATTGTTGAGGGGAGCAGCTGTCGACAGGAGAGGTCTGCTGTGCCATGTGGTTCATCTCCAGGGCTGGGGATTGAACTGGCACTAAAGCGGCTGCAGCTATCTTGCAGTGCTGTGTCCTAACCCATTGCGCCACCAGGGAGGGACCCTCCCACCCCCATCTGTTCCATTTTTATGAGCTTGTTTTTTCAGATTCCATATATAATTGAGACATTTGCTATTTGTCTTTCACTGTCTTAACTTATTTAACTTAGCTTGCTATACTTAAGGTCCATCCACATTGCTAAAAATGGCAAGATTTTATTTTTTTAATGGCAGAATAGTATCATTTGTATGTACATTTTGTTTATGCATTTTTGTCCACTGGAGGACACTTACATTGTTTCCATATCTTGGCTCTTGTAAATAATGCTGCAGTGAATATGGGGGTACAGGTATCTGTTTCATTTGATGTATTTGTTTCCTTTGGATAAATA